CGTAAAAAAGGCACACATAAGGAATCCATGGTAAGAAAATCATCTTTTTTCGGCAAGTGGAGAAAGAATGCCGCAGGGTTATTGGCATTACAGGCGACTGTGTGAATAGACTGAACGATTTATTCGATATTTACTGGACGTTTGTTTTAACGATGCATGTGATTTATTGTATATGTTCTTTCAAAGATGGGGGCTGGATGCATTTTTGACACGATTTTATAGTCGGCGCACATTCACCTGCAGTAATATTCTTAACAAAGGTTAACGGATAAGAAAAGCCTTCAGATACTATGCAGATTGTTGCAGGCACGTATTCATCTTAATCGATAGATTTGTGGATGACGGGAGCGCGCACGGATGATATAAGGTACGACAGTCATCCTGATGCTCTGTGTTTTTAAAGAAATTTCAAAATAATTTGTGCGCCAAGTGATATAACATAAATCGAATCTTTCGAATGTTTAAAAAAAGCCTTTAGGCTTGCTTATTTATGTTAATTTATTGTGTTCCAATTATCATAGGCAAAGCTTCATATTGTCTGTTACTAATCAATATTTCTTATCCCTTGTGTCCTTGCAGCAATCCAGAGGGTCTAACATGAACCATGTGCACAATGGGAGTATTAGCTCGCTCTTGGGTGACCTAAAGGCAAAATGGGCAACACTGAGGCTGTGACCACTTTGCATCCCCATGTGTACCATGAACAGCACTGCCTGGCCTTTGGACCTGGCTGAGTTTGCGAAACCTCGGAGCTTTAACAGCTCCCAGAGCCAGTCTGCTTCGGTGAGTGGCTGGGCCTTAATCCACACGGCTACCCTCGCCTCCTGCTCCCTCCTGTTGGTCCTCATCTTTTGTCTCGGTTCATATGGAAACTTGGTGGTCTTCTTGTCCTTCTTCGACCCGGCGTTCCGCAAGTTCCGCACCAACTTCGACTTCATGATCCTCAACCTGTCCTTCTGTGACCTGTTCATTTGCTGCGTCACCGCGCCCATGTTTGCACTGGTGCTCTTTCTGGACGCTGGAGACACTAGCGGTGGCGTGTCCAAGGGCTTCTGCTTTGCCTTCCACCTCACCAGCTCGGGCTTCATCATTATGTCCCTCGAAACGGTGGCTGTGATTGCCCTACATCGGCTCCGCATGGTCCTGGGTCAGCAGCCCAACCGTACGGCTTCATTCCCCTGTACTCTGGCTCTCACGGCACTATTATGGACCACCAGTTTCACGCTGGCGGCGTTGGTCACCTTACGACCATATCCCAGGCGCTCCGGACCTTGCCTGCCTCACTTTGGTCTTACCGGCAACAAGGCCAAGGTAGTATTGTATGTATACATTGCAGACTTTGCTTTCTGTGTAGGTGTGGTGTCCATCTCGTACCTCATGATCGCTCAGGCATTGAGGAAGAACGCTCAGGTTCGGAAGTGTCCCATCATCACGGTGGATGCGACACGTCCACCTGCTTCTCATCCGCCGCTCATTGCCGCAGGTTTCGAGGGCATGCAGTGTACAGTGCAGGTGCCCTCGCTGTACCGCAACCAGACCTACAACAAGCTCCAACATGTCCAAACGCACTCCTTCACCAGGAGAACCAACCAGCCCCTCGTGCCCGGGGCTGCCACTGGAGCGACTTGCTGCCAGTTGGTCTCCACAGTTAACCTGGCGACAGCCAAGGATTCAAAGGCTGTGGTCACATGCATAGTGATCGTCATCTCAGTGTTGCTGTGCTGTCTACCACTAGGTATATCCTTGGCGCAGGATATGGTGTCACCGGAGAGCAGCTTTGTCCACTACCAATTTGAGCTCTGTGGATTTGCCCTTATCTTCCTGAAGTCTGGAATCAACCCATTTGTATACTCGCGCAATAGCGCGGGTCTGCGCCGCCGTGTGCTCTGCTGCCTCCAGTGGCTGACCTTGGGCTTCCTGTGCTGCAAGCACAAGACACGCCTACACGCTATGGGCAAAGGAAGCCTGGAAGTCAACCGTAACAAGTCCTCACACCACGAGACCAACTCTGCGTACATGCTCTCGCCGAAGCCTCAAAGGAGGCTGGTGGATCAGGCTTGCGGACCCAGTCACTCCCGGGACAGCATGCCTAGTCCCTGTGCCACCGCTGGACACAAGCCCCGACCCCCGAGCACATCTACACCCATCAATACGCGCATAGAACCCTACTACAGTATCTATAACAGCAGTCCGTCAGCAGGCCCGAGTTCCCCCAATAGCCTGCAGCCGGTCAACTCTCAAACCACGGCCTTTGCCAAAAGCTACGTGGCTATGCACTACCACACCCACCAGGAGGCGCTGCAGGACTTTGACAGCACCTCGGCTCATCAGATTCCCATCCCATCAGTCTGAGCTGTAGAACGTCATGCTACTTGCTCAGCATCCAAAGGGGAGCATTTATAGTGTTTGCTTGTGGTTCGCTAGTGGTGTTTTGCTCAAGAGACAATATGCATCGAGTATCCAATAAAAAGAAAATGGGACTAGCTAATTGTCGCTTTCCCCAAAAGTGTTATTCTCAATGTTTTCTGGACTGAAGGATGTTCTATTTTTACATTGACATGGCATTTTCATGTACAGTAATAGTCTTCATGCAGATTATGTATTTGTGAAACATCCTACATTTTATATATGAACTTATTAAATGTTTTGCAAGTGTATGTTGACATTTCTTTCATTTGAGACCAAACGTTTAATAATGTACAGCTGTAGTTTGCTTTGTCAATCATCGCTTTTAAGGTATTGACATTCCTTAAGCATTAATAAGCTATGGATGGATGTTTTTATGTAAGAGCATTATTAGTTCCCTTGAAAAAAAAACTATCAACAAAAAGAGACACTAGCACCACCTAGCGTAGGTAAATGGACCCTTCTGGACAATTTGTAATGTTTAGCAGAGGCATGTGTTTATTTCAAATTCTCTGTAAGAAATGTTTTTTGTTATAATGAATAGTGCTGCCCTAATGATCTGTTTAGGAAAATATATTGGTTTAATTTTCATTGTAACATAAATAGGGAAAAAATATTTACACTGCAAAAAAAAAATCTTGTTCTGCTTTTTTGCTTTGTTTTCCAGTACTATGCCAGTACAAAGAGATTTTTTAAAAAATAAATAAAAATTGTCATTTTATGCTCATCTCAAAAAAAAATATTTTTCCTTAAGTATAATACAATTTTGATATTTTTCAGAAAACAAGACTTTGAGTCATTTTGCATATTAAAGGGATAGTTCACCCAAAAATGAAAATTTGATGTTTATCTGCTTACTCCCAGGGCATCCATGATGTAGGTGACTTTGTTTCTTCAGTAGAACACAAACGAAGATTTTTAACTCAATCCGTTGCAGTCTGTCAGTCTTATAATGCAAGTGAATGGGAATCACGGCTTTGAGAGTCATAAAACATACACAAACAAAACCTAATTAAACCCTGCGGCTCGTGACGATACATTGATGTGTAAAGACACAAAACGATCGGTCTGTGCAAGAAACAGAACCGTATATCGTTTTTTACCTCTGATTTTCACCGCAATGTCTGAACTGTCGTGAGTGCGATCGCATCTTCTTCAGCCTGCGCGTGAGGCGTCTTTTTCTTGCTTTACGGCGGATCGCAGACTTATGGATAGGTGCATTACCACCACCTATCTCTCAAATGGACCATTGACACTCTATCTACAATCTCAATTGGGAGTGTCAATGGTCCATTTGAGAGATAGGTGGAGGTAATGCACTTATAAGTCTGCAATCCGCCGTAAAGCAAGAAAAAGACGCCTCACGCGCAGGCTGAAGAAGAAGATGCGATCGCACTCAGGACAGTTCAGTTGTTTGTGTATTTTTTTTTTTACTCTCAAAGCCGTGATTCCCATCCACTTCAATTATATGACTGACAGACTGCAATGGTTCGAGTTAAAAATCTCCGTTTGTGTTCTACTAACATTGATGTGTAAAGACACAAAACGATCGGTCTGTGCAAGAAACAGAACCGTATATCGTTTTTTACCTCTGATTTTCACCGCAATGTCTGAACTGTCGTGAGTGCGATCGCATCTTCTTCAGCCTGCGCGTGAGGCGTCTTTTTCTTGCTTTACGGCGGATCGCAGACTTATGGTCAAATTTTCATTTTTGTGTGAACTATCCCTTTAAGTAAATGTATCTTGATTTAAGAATGTTTCAATATTTGTACTAGAAAACCAGGCAAAAATACTAAAATCCTAATTTTTTGCAGTGTATTTTTAAGGTGGTGTATGAATCTTCTGAAATGACTTGGAAACAAAACTCATATTCTCATGTACAGGCTGAGTAACAACCAGCATTGCAGACAATGCAATGAAATAGTCTTGATAAATGTGTTCTTATAAGAGTTAAGAGGAGCCCTTCGCCAAACACATTATTGTACAATAGTGGAAGTGGTTACATTTAAGTGAGGGTAATTACAAATTGTAAACATAAATCAATGACCCATGATTTCCAGTTTAATGACATTCACTTTCCTTTCCTTTGTATTTTCCCTTGCAATTTGCATTGCACAATTACTTCTTAAATCACTTTTAAAACAATGTAATAACCATCCCCATCTGCACAGTGATAATGGCAAGCACTGAACTACCAGAAGTTTTATCAAATAAATAATGTATATTTAAAACAGCAATTGATTAACAGAACAAATTATTAATAATAACTCGTCATTAGATTTTTAAAGTGGCTTTACCACAGCCAACCATCTAACTGTGCCAAAGCATGAAAAGAGGAACAAAAATATTCTTCAACAGGTTTGAGATTTGTAAAACATTGAGAATTTAGTCCTAGCGGCATCTCCAGGTTTAAGTTTCTTCAAATGTCCTCCTTGTTTAGTCTTCAAACAACAGAAAGTGCAGTCACTGAGGGACTTTCTCAAAGGGTGGAGGTCTGAGGTTCAGCAAGTCTATGTTATCGCCATGATCTATGAAACTACTCGACTTCAGACTTTTATCTCTCCCTCTGAGCATCATACTGCCTTCCTCTTCTGTATTGTTCATTCTCCAAACTAACCATTCCTCCATCTAGGCTAGCTAGGGATTGAAAGAAGTCCGTTTTCATCTGCAGTGTCCAAGATCTTGCATATTACGGGCGACTCAACCTGTGGCAGAATAATAACCAGGTTAAGGGTTATCGATATGAAATGATCACACTGTCGCATTTCGTAAGCCATAACATCAAACCAAAATAAAATTGTAGTCAAATCTCAAAGACATTTTGTTTGCCACTCACCCCAAGAACATATTGACAGGTCTGAGGTTCCAGCATGTAAACTGTAACAGCATGAGGAGACTCGGACTCCTTACACCTGAGACAGAACAGGTAGGTGTTAGTGGCAGCATTCAACAAACCCAAAAACCTCATAGCATCAAGAAGTTTGGATATCTCACTTGAGCTTGACTATAACCTGTCTCGGTTTCCCTGTTAGGTCACAAACATCTCCACGGCCATAGAAGCGAGATACGACCCTGATGAGGTATCACCAAGACAACATGACACATTAAAATATGACACAGATAATATATCTATATACTCACACATACACACGTACAGGGAGTCTATATATATATTTTTTATTTATATTATTCAATTTTTTAAAGCACCTTGTATGTGAGGGAAATATAAATCATACTTGACTTTCTGCGCTCCATCGTCTTTCAAATGATAAGATCGTGCCACGTTTTTCTTGGCCCAGTCAATATGATCCTCAGTGTTCCAGCTGCCCACCACCACAATGTTCTTCCCTTGTTCTTTATCCTTCAACCAAATGCACAAAATGCAATTTAGCACCTATCATATAATCCAGACCTTTACACTATACTGGGAATTATTATATTTTCTAAAGAATGCAAAGACTTCACAACTCTTACCTCATGATACTGGTGGACATGCTTTCCGTAACAGAATTCATACTTCCACCATCCAACGCCCTAGACAGAAACAAACATATGTTAAACTTGAAGATCTACAATTATAGAAAAAAAATCCATCCATCCATCCTCACCCCATGCAGACAGTATGAGCCACTCAGAAACTCCTTGATCAGCTGTTCATCAGTCAGACGGGAGATGTGGGTGGTGCCAACGGTGACCTGGGCTTGCCCACCCACTGTCAGGGGCTTATGGGTAGAGGTATATGCCTCTTCTTTCACTGGAGATGTATCCTCCTTAGCAAGGGAGACAGAGGGATTACATTTTTACAATACATTAAATACATTTTTATATACTTTTCAGAACTATTTTTTGCAGCAGTTATTCGTTATCGCCCCTTATCCCCAAGTAGGTTAGTGTGAATGCAGAAGATAAAGGGCAGATGCGTACTCACCCTGGATCTTCTCTGATCTCTTTCGCCACTTGAGCTGAACGGTGGTTTGAGCAGCTCTTCCTGCTCACGATCCAGCTGGGACAGACTCTGAGGTCTGAGAGGGGAGCCACCCAGAGCCTGGCAAAAGATGTCATTCACTGGGGACAACTTGAACCTGAGGAAAGATGGGCTTGATTCTGTCACAAAGGATTAAAAAGGACTAAAAATGGAAATTGACTTTGAATGTGTTTGTGTATGTACCTGTATTTCGGGTGTGGACAGAGGAGGGGTGTGAGCACCACTACTTCATACTGACAGGTGGTGACCTCAGCGATCGTGAGGATCTCATGTTTTGCCTCCGGGTGGCAGACGTACAGCACTGTGGTACAGCGAGGGTTATTCTGTTTCAGAGAGCATTCAGTCCCATGTCCCATCTCTACAGGATAGTATGGTGTCAACTGACCCTCTATATTCTTTGTTGGCACCTGGGAACACAGAGAGTTTTAAAAACATCCTCAGGTGACACACATTTCCTACCTTTATATTTAACAGCTACAAACCTGTGTGTTGGTGTTTGATCTTTCTGATTCAGAGTCACTGGATTTTTCCATTTCTGATTCTGAGGAGCAGATAATATATTGATCAAATATTTAATACTTTACTAGAATATGTAAAGAAATAATTATAAAAACTTAAGCTTAAAAATTAACCAACCTGCACTCCCTTTTTTCATGGTACCCAGATAGTATTCCTGAATGTTGATCTTCTGAGGAACCATTGACAAATTAGACCATTGAAATGTTTATATTACTTAGAAATATCTTAATATAATCCAACCACATACACTAATGTTTGGGATCGGTAAGATTTTTTAAAAGAAATTATTACTTTTATTCAGCAAGGATGTATTTAATGGATCAGGTGACACTGAAGACTGGAGTAATGGCTGCTGAGAATTCAGCTTTACCATCACAGAAATAAATATTTAAATTGAAATCAGTTATTTTAAATTAATTAATGATTAAGTAATGATATTTTACAATTACTGTTTTTACTGTATTTTTAAACAAATAAATACAGCCTTGGTGAGCATAAGAGACGTCTTTCAAAAACATTGCCAAATCTTACCAATCCCAAACTTCTGAGCAGTACTGTATGCATTTCTAATCAAATAGAAGGAACGCTATAAATAAGGATCTGGCATGTTCTTTAACAGCAAACATCATAACCAGTGATTTTACCTGCCCCGTCTCCTTGTCCTCATGGTACTGCCGTACATGCTTCCCGTGGCACACTTCATATGTCCAGTATGACTCGATCTGTCACAGTTGTAATAAAAGCAATTCATATGGCCGTGTTTATTAAACTATAAACAGAAACTGAGAAATGAAACTCACTCTGTAGGAGCAGCTGCTCTGTTTGAATAACGGCTCCAGCAGCTCAGCTGGACTCGGTCCATCATACTCCTTCACGTCATCCTTCAAAAATGAGACGGACAGTAAACTGATCAAATAAAACGGAACTAAACGATACACAGAATGGCTCAAGATAATAATAACTAAAAAAACTGGCCATGCATAACCACACCTCCTGGTTGCTGGACAAAGATGGCAATAAACATTTGTACTTTTCTTTTTCCGCAGTTGTCATGATAACATAGTCATCTTCTTTGTACAGGCCTCCTGACGTTGACTGCAGAGAAAGGGATATTATTACATATTAGTGTCGCTGAGGAAATATATCAACTTCGCGCTGTGGATCGCCAGATCGGCTTTCACCGTGGATGAAGCGGAGTTCAGTCCGGGGTCGTCACATGTGGTTGCCGCAAACCAGCCGGCCGCTCTTTCATAATGGCTCTGGGATAAATGCAGAGCACTAATTCCTAGTATGGGTCACCATACTTGGCCACGTCACTTCACTCACTCGCTCACTTCATCGAATCCGCCCGCCACCGCTCACTCTAGCCCGCCATGTGTTTCGTTGTGAAAGGGAAACTACTTTGTCTGGTCTTCCAAAAGAGGACACGACTAGAAATCAAGGCGGGGCATAGAGGAGAAACAATAATGTACAGTATGTGGAAAATAATGTGTTTTTTTTACCTTAAACCACATAAACTCATTTCATTACACCAAATACACAAAATAATGTTCTTTTTAGCAACATCATATGACCCCTTCAACTTCTGCAGAAGCAAACAACAACTGACAAATCCATGAGATCCAGAGAGACAAACTAAACAGCTCTACTTGCTATTTTTGTACTTTAATACTTCATAATGCTGTTAGAGAGAATATTAACACTACAAGACAGCTCAAAACAAAACAGGACACATCCAGCTGTTATGAAGCGACCTCAGCCAACAAGCTGACAACTAACGTAAATAAACACGTTTGTATTTACAGCTGTCATGCGAAACGTCTGGGTTTATTAGATGTCAAGACTCACCAGGGTGAAGTCTGCCCCGGGCCATTTGATTTTGAAGGGGATTTCATCAGAAAACACAGGAGATCCTGCACGATCTGCAGACACTCCGACCCAAATCAGCCCCAAAAACCAACGCCAAAACGCCCGCATCGCCCCTGATGAGCCTCCAAAAGCGCTATCGGGACATTAGAGAGAGACAGCTGGAGGAGAAGGGTCAGAAAAACGGTTACTACAGGTAATCGGTGAGATCTAATAGCCAACTGACTGCTGATAGTTTGACTAGAGTTAAAACAGGAAGCGCATCAGGACTTTGTCATCTTGCCACGTACATTTCCGGCATCAGACGGAAATTCCTCTCAGCCAATAGCGCGTGAGGAGCATGAACCGCTGTTAGTAATGCTGTCCTAATTTACGCTGCGATATCAAATGAATACTTATATTTTGGACGATTAAGAAAATATTATTTAAACTAAAAAAAAACGCAGTTGTGTAAGAGGGGACCATTTGTGCTAATCAATAATATTTTAAGAAATTGCAACTGTATTCATAAGCAAATATTTTACGTTGTCTTGTTCTCGTACACACGTTTATACATGTAATTTTCTCCAATAAATTACTTTACGTTGTTGTCTTGTTTATACAAACGTTTATGTATTTTTTAAACATTTCTTAAAGTATTTTTTTAATAAATATATAATATATATTGTATAATATAAATAATAATATATAATGTATATTTTTATATATAATTTAGTGGCACAATGGGCAAAACAAAAAGCAAAATTATCACATTATACTACTTCACAAAATATCTAAAACTAAAAATAACACAGATTTACTGCTATTTTCCAACACATTATGGCTCAAATAATAGGCCTATATACAATTCCATTTTTTTATCCAAAATATTGCTTTCATTTTTATGTTGTATCTTTGTATAGGCTATTGTAAAAAAAAAAAACCTAATGTAAAAGATTTAATTGCAGTGATTCACTGTTAAATAAATCATGTCTTGCTACATACAAAGGGATAAATATTAGTGTAATATTTGGATAAGGATAATAAGGATAATTGTATCATTTGACAATTCTGAGCTTTTTAACATGCACTACATGCATTTCAATACATCTTCTCATAATACTATTCCCTGATCTTCAGCTTTCCTCTGCTGAGTGGTTCCGTCCCATCAGGCTTCAGATAACCTCAGTAACTACTTACATCAGCCAGGGCATCTTTGGTAAACATCATATTTCTCCAGAGTGTTCATTTAAAACTATCAACCACAAATTGATCTCAACGCTGGCAGAGATGAGCATTTTCAGATTTTCACCAGTCCTTTCTTCACCCTCTCTGCTTTTCCATCTACAATACATGTTTTTAATTTGGATGCAACATGTGAAGGGTATTGCTTGTACTATTTTCATAAACAGCCAATTTAGTCTGAATAGTCTATTTTCCAGAATAATGGCAGGCAAAAACAGATTTCATTTCCCTTCTAGTGAAGAGGTTACTATTTTCGTAGCGAGTGTCATACTTGAATGGCCTTTCCACATGGTTTGTGGATCACTGAATAAATTATGTATTTTCATGTCATAGCAGGTCTTTTGATGCTGGTGGAGAGCCTCTCTTAATGTCACTAGAAATTAAAGCAAAGCTGAGAGCTTTGAGTGGAAAGTGGACCTCAATCATTGTCCAATCAGTGGAGGGCAGAACCTGCTTCTTTGTATACCAATTTGATGATGCTGATGGTTGAATCTTTGTTTCAGGAACATTTGCAGATAGATTAACTGTATGGTATTAAATAAACGTACAGATGTATGGTTCAAAATGTATGATCATTTACACTCAAATATATTATTGTCTAAGGTTTTTGCCCATGGAATGAAAGTAAGTAGGGTCCAAAACTACACTGGACAACATTAGAATATGGACAAAAGAACAGAGACATTTTACAATATCATATTTTGATATTATCTTTTGTGTTCTACAGAAGACAGAAAGTCATACAGGTTCATAATGACATGAGGGTGAGAAAATTATGCCAGAATTTTAATTTTTGGGTGAACTATACTTTTAAGAACTATTGTCTATTCAATAAACAAATGAAAAAATACTGGATCCTGACAAATATGATGTATTTCTCAAGGCTGCATCTCTGTACTAATATTTAGGCCATCATTGTGCCCAAATACAAATTCAGACAGCTGTCATGTGTTTTTTTTTTTGTTTTTTTTTAGGAACAAAGATGTCAATTCTTTCTCTACTGTAAACAAAACATACACTGAACAAAATTATAAACTAGGCTGGCCACAATAAAAGTAGGGTGACCATACGTGCCATTTTCCCAGGACGCGTCCTGGCCAGGATTTCTATATTGCACACGCAAACAAAGCCAAAACCTAGATCTTTTAGGCAATATAGAAATCCTGGCCAGGACGCGTCCTGGGAAAATGGCACGTATGGTCACCCTACTTTTATTGTGTCCAGCCTAAGGCACACCTGTGCAATAATCATGCTGTCTAATCAGCATCTTGATATGCCACACCTGTGAGGTGGATGGATTATCTCGGCAAAGGAGAAGTGCTCACTAACACAGATTTAGACAGATTTGTGAACAATATTTGAGAGAAATAGGCCTTTTGTGTACATAGAAAAAGTCTTAGATCTTTGAGTTCAGCTCATGAAAAATGGGGGCAAAAACAAAAGTGTTGCGTTTATAATTTTGTTCAGTGTAATTCATGCAATATGTATAGCTACTAATATCTTATCAAACATTTCTCTCCCCACAGAAAACGTGCCTTTCTGTTTCTCTCAGAAAAACAATGAGCTTCTTTACAACAATGCTTTCTTTTGTCTCTGAAATGAAGCCCAAGCCCTTCTCATCCAGTAGAGGGCGCAGTCGTTCTGATAACTGGGCTTATACACCCCACGTTTAAGGTGATGTCCTACGGTTTGCCAGCGTGCTTGGCAGTTCATCTGCCGGTCGAAGTGAGCAGTGTGAAGCAGCCTGTGTAGGGATACTGAGGCAGCGTTGGCTCTGAACAGAGGAAATGACATAATGACCCTCTGAACTCCCTGCCCACGTTCCAGTGCTCTTCGAGCAGCGTCTTATGTCCCGGGGTGTGGTCTCATACTCCGTTTACCAGCGCTGGAATCTCTCAGCCCAACTTAAACATCCTCCAGATTCACATCTCTCGTACGCTCTCTAATTAGCTCCATATGATGAGACTGATGCTCTACTACTAAACAACGCGCAAGGGAAAAAAAGGTAATTTTTCTCTTCTGATGAAAGATAGAGTACCATTCTTTCTATGCGATCTCAGCAGAACTCAGCAGCTCGTGTTCTTTCTAGGACTTCATCATTAGAGCACATTTCTCCAGTTCTCCAACATTTACACTGGCTCCCAGTAAAGTATCGCATTGATTTTAAAATTTTGCTTCTCACATTTAAGGCACTTCACAGCCTTGCTCCACCGTATCTTACTGACCTTCTCCACATCTACACTCGATCTCTCTTGTGTCGCCGCGTATACGTTTAAGTACCATGGGAGCAAGAACTTTTAGTTTTGCGGGCCCTCGCCTATGGAACTCTCTTCCCCTCAATATACGGAACAGTGACAGCCTTCATACTTTTAAATCTCGTTTTAAGACTTATCTTTTTACCCAGGCTTTCTTATGACTTGCGCTTATTAATTGCTCTTATTATTGCTCTTGTAAGCCTTTATTGTATTTATGATGTATGCAGTTGTGCTGTTGAATTTTGTAATGCTGGCAGGACTTGTTTATTAATTGTTACTGTTTTTACTAGTTTGCTTGCTGTAAGGTGACCTTGGGTGGTTAGAAAGGCGCCATTCAAGAAAATTAATTATTAAATAACTTACAAAATAGTTAGAAAACTTTATGTGAGGCGTAATTTTACAAACAGCACGAGTTCTCCGCGAGCTCTCTGTCTTTCCCTCTCAAAATGCGCAAATGGCTTCATATCACCACATCGCGTCTGCAGTGTAAGCGAGCTGCACAGTTGACACAGGAATTGTCACAGTTTACATGCATCGTCACTAAAGTTTATAATTTGCATCTCTTTTTTAAGTTTGGCCAGTATTTAAACCATTCAGCACTCGTGCGCTCTCCAGAGAGAGCATACTCAACAATTGCCCCATTGTAAAAATAAAAATACACAGCATGATCAAACATTTAATTACATATTTTTGAAAAAAAAAAAAAAGTCTAAAAATTCCCCCCTCCACCACTCAACTGAAAAAAAAATTAAAAATCTTCCCTCGGCTCCCACACGAGTCACCTAACGGGAATTCAGCCCATTTTCAAAAATGAAACTCAGGCCCTGAATGAATGTCTGTAAAAATCCTGATTAAAGTATCACTATAAATAATTCTACATGTTAAAAAGAAGCCTTTTTTATCATGTAGATAAAAACAGATAAAAAAAAAGGCCCTCTAAAACAGAGAGGGACACTCTCTGTTAGGAGAAATCTCGCCCACTCCCTGAGAAAGTCAATATTTTAATTTTCTTAAATAAAAATCGCTAGAGACGCCAGAATTCTCTATTGCATTCTGTTGTGCTCCTATGCACATGATGTTCAAATATGCTGTGCTATGGTATGCTGAGGAAATCTCTCTCTCTCTCTCTTTGAAGGGCCTTTTTATTTAAAAAATGTGCTTTATGTGCCTTTTTCTGTTTGCTTGGAGGCATTTGTAAACTGCAGTAATAAAATAACTTGACATTTTCAACATCTTTTTAGATAATTTATTTTTGCGATATTTTTGGTTTGTATCGATAAGCAGTATCGTATCGGTATCGATAAAATGTAAACGATACCCATCCCTACCCCGGAATCGATCGCAAAATCCACCGAGGGGGGCCCCTCTGGGACCACATGCTGAGGGCCCCCAAAACACTAAACACGCCCCTGCTTATGATACCAAGGCAAACAAAACGAAACATTTAAGTGAAACACACAAATGACCAGAAGAGAAAGATTTATCAATACGGTGAACGTACATCAGATGTTACTAACCGAATCTGTACTTTAAAAAAAACAAAGCGACATTTTTGTGGGCGAATTGACAGCTGTACCTGCTCGTCTTAAGACTTATCTTTTTACCCAGGCTTTCTTATGACTTGCGCTTATTAATTGCTCTTATTATTGCTCTTGTAAGCCTTTATTGTATTGCTGTATTGAGTGTGAAGTTTAAATCAGGTTGAACTGGTAACTTAGTCCAAACAAGGCGCGCCCTGTAGTGTAAACCTAGCACAGATTAGTAGTTTCTCTCCATGTTTCTGATTGATTTTTTAAGTA